ACATGTGGAGAAGGTCGGCAGGGAGAAGCTTTTCCCCCCCTCTCATAAAACTGGAACCCATAGTCACCCCATGAAGCTGAGTGGTGGGCAGACATTCAGAATATAGGGAAGTATTTCTTTACACAATGCTTCATTCAATTGTGCTGAACAGTAGACCTTGCCACAAAATGCAATGGGATCAATGGCTGTCAATTTGAACAGCTTTATTAGGAGACCAGACAAAGATCAGATAGCCCTGAGCTATCAAGGACTGTCAAGTTATGACAGCTACATGAACAGCTTTATTAGGAGACCAGACAAAGCTCTTATTAGAAGACCAGACAAAGATCAGATAGCCCTGAACTACCAAGGACTGTCAAGTTATGACAGCTATGTATTCCCTGTAGTACCAGAGGCAGCATGGTTACATATATCAACTACTTAGGTGAATGAGCGGATGATTGATGTTATCCTTACGCTGCCTGTGGGGTTCCCATGGTACCACTGGTTGACCACAGTGGAAACCACATGTCCAACTGGATAGATCTTTAAGCTAATTCAGCATGGCTTTTCCCCTTCTGTTGCTGACATCTACGTATATTCTGTACAAGTATAATTAAAATTGAGTTCATCAAAACTATGTTTCAACACCACGCTGATAAAGTAGAGGGGAAAGGAAAGACACAAAATATATGGAAATTCAAGCTAACTAGAATTGCTCAGAGGGGGAAAAATCTACTCACTTGAAATAAAGTGGTGGAGGTGGGCTTTGCAGATATAATGGGCCTCTGGATCGATAAATAAGTGGGCAGTACAGAAGTTAAAATGATTAAATTGAGCTGTTGAGATACAATCTTAATAATGTTCACATAAGATTTTTCCTAAGTTGCCATGGCTAACGGCACTAACTGACAAGATGCTGGAGCATATCTCGATCAGGGGCCTGATCACATGGTCAATTCTGTAACTAAGATGCACCCTGGAACTTCATCAATTAGCTTCAGTTAGGAGCAACGAGTTATGCAAACCTTAAACACTAATAGAATTCCAGCCATCACAAGAAGGCAAGGCTCATTGTAAAAGACAATAATGCTAGGAAGTGGAAGGCAGCAGGAATAGGGGAAGACCTATTTTGAGATGGATTGACTTAATAAGGAGGTCACCACCTTTAGCTTCCATGACTTGAGCAGGGATGTTAGTAACAAGACCCTCAGAGGTCATTAATGTATAGGATCACTATATCAACTTGAGCTGGTTGGGGTTTCTGGGAGTTGCAGTTCAAAAACACCTGAGTAACCCAAGGTTAAGAACCACTGATGTATAGGATCAGTATATCAACTTGGCAGCATATAACAGCCACAGAAGAATTGTAGGCATCCCCATTCTGAAATTATTTTTAGAAATTGTCCTGATTAAATTGAAATATCAGAGACGTCAAAGGAGACTATCCCAAGAGAAAAAACGGTGGCTTCCATGCTGATGGTCTGCATAATCAAAGCACGTTTCACTGAATCTTTGAGGAAGTAACAGGATAGGCATTTATGTTTTCAGAAACAGAGACAGACATTGCTTCTTCCCAGAATTCTAAGCAAAACCTAACATTTCCTAGATGAGCTAACAACCCATGGCTGAACAAGATTAAGAGGGCCATTCTAATCAGTGCCGCCAGAAGTGAAATCTGATAACCTACACTTCTTGTTTCAGTCAGCAATCCCCATTTTGCAACTTCCTCTTAACAAAGGAACATGATCCTGCATCTCTTGCCATTCAGTCAGCAATCCCCATTTTGCAACTTCCTGTTAACAAAGGAACATGATGCTGCATCTCTTGCCATTTTTAAAAAAATTTCATCTCCCCCCCCCCACTGTCCACAGCTCTGTGGTGCCCAGCCACAGTGAAGACTTACACAGGATGGACCCTCAGGCTGTCTTGAGCCTGGGATTCAATGTAAGAAGTGGACTTTTCTCCAGGAAAGCTTGCCATTGGTCTGATTTTTAGTGGTCCATTAAAAGGTATTCCCCACTCTTACATTTCTGTAATTTAGAGACTAGGTTCTTAACCTTTGTTACTCGGATGTTTTTGAACTGCAACTCCCAGAAACCCCAGCCAGCTCAGTTGGTGGTGAAGGCTTCTGGGAGTTGCAGTCCAAAACTCCTGAGTAACCCAAGGTTAAGAACCAGTGATTTAGAGGACCAGCCTTTTTTCTTTGTTCTTTAGGAACAAATGGCCGCACACAGCAGCCCCTACAAGACAACGTAGACTCTCAAGACCAGCCACATGTTATCCCCACCCTGACAGCCAAAAAGAAATTGCAAAGTTTCAAAGCAGGCTGTGTGAGTGTATGTGCTGAGGGGTGACAATGACAGAAATTGGCAGCCTTTTGGTTCTAGAAGAGGGGGTGTAAGCATTCCAAACCAGGCTGCAAGAGGGCTTGAGACCGCAGAGGAATTACATCTAAATCTCACAGACATGTACCACCCATTTTTCTGCACTGTTCCCGAAGGGAATTTTCTCTATGAAAGCTTGAAATTGGTTTGATTTTGAGTGGTCCAATAAAAGATACCACCCATTCTTCCATTTGGTTAAATGTAAACTACAGCACTGAACCTCTTTTTCCTCCAGTTGTGTCAATGGGACAGAGAAAGGCATAACCATAACTCAATGCAGTACAGCAGTTTGAAAACTGGCCTCAGATCAAAAATTTCTTTCCTAGATGTCAAAATCCCTCATACTTTGTGTCTGAGGACACACATCATCATATAAAGATGTGAAGATGATTATAATAACAAATACATTACTGACAATAACAACACAGTGTGTCAATGCAGCTGAGATACGTTATTTCAGGTAGACTTTATTGTGGCATAGTATTATGATCAGGAAACTGTTCCTGTTAGGGAAAATGAGAAAATAAAAAGTTGGCATACATCTGATCAGACTGCCCATTCATCTAGCACAGTCTGGACAACTGACTCTTTTGCATTACGGTTCCAGGAGTCCCACATCCAGCAAGCTGACTGGAGGTTCTGGGAGGTTTAATCTGAAAAAAAACTTTTTTTTTCCAGACTCTGCCATCTAGTTTGCTATTATTTACTCTCAGAGTTTCAGAATGTTGCCTCTTTTTTTGGGGGGGGGGGACTACACCCCCCAGAATCCTCCATCTACCATAGCCAGCAGTGCCCTTGCTGAATAGGGGATTTGGAGGTGGGGAAAATAACTGCCCTCCTCTGATGGGTTGGAGTTGATCGTGGCTTCAAGCAGATGCTTCTCCTTCTAAATAATCATTTTAACTGGAGGGTCCAGGCAGATCCAGGGACTTTTTTAAATGCAAACCATGTGGTTTTAATACCACAGAACTTTGCTTCCAAAAAGCACCTATTTGCAAAGAGAGATTGAGAGAGAGAGGTCTTCATAAAATATCTCAAAACTGGAGAGACAGGCTATATGTCAAATATAAAATGGGATTTGTAGGCTGAGATTAAGGAGCATCTCAGCCCAGCAATCTACACAATGCCTGGTCATTAAAAATGTCCCAGTAGAAGTGTGTGTTCATTTTGTACTATGCTTTGCTATTGTTAATATTATGTTTGTCTACTGTGGGGAGTGTGTGTGTCTGTGTGTGTCTGTGTCTATGTGTGTCTATGTGTTTGTGTAAAATGGCTTGGGGACTGCATGGGGCAGGCTCTACTTCACTCATAGTCTACAGTAGAGTATCGTATCTCTCTTTTTTAAAAAAAGTCAAATCAGTTTGGCAAATTAAAAGTGAATTATCCTTTCACAGCCAAATACCCACTCTTGCTGTACCACCATTCACTGGTATACTCGGAATTGCAGAAGGCTGGCCATTTGAGTGGAGGGAAGGAGGTACAGTCCCCTGAATTCTTGGGCTGAGGATACTACCACTCACTATGAGCTGCCCTTGATAGCTGCTGCACCAGCAATACTGTGCCCTTGAATAGATGTTCAAGGAAAAGGAACTTGGTTTGCTATTTCCCCTTCACTCAAAAGTACACTCGCACATATGTACATGTGTGCACATTCACATATGTGCCCCTCAGAAAGTTACCAGAATTGTGCCACTAACATATATACTCTATTTTTCTGTGAATTGAAGTGAGTTGAAATAGTGTTTGCATTAGGGTGGGGGAGTCCCAGGTAGGAAACAGTTCTGATTTACACACCAAGCAGAATAAAAACATCAAGGAGAGTACTGAAAAATCAAATACATCCTCCTAATTCAAAGTGGGCAGAAGATAATCTTTTGTCCATAGCAGGCCCTGCCTCTTCCCTACCCCAAAATGAGACCAAGTTGATGGCTGAGAGAGAAGCAAACTCCACACCATTAGAATGAACTGCAAACAGACAAAATATGTAAGCTTTTGATTTCATATAGCTCTTCATCAAGCTAGGTGGTAAAAAAAAATTGGCCAGTTGTGGCCGATCGGGGGAGGGGAGCATGGAAGTCCAAATACATGGCCAGGAGTTTCCAATTATGCAGAACTTTAACCAAACAAAGTTCCAGGCTGGAAAGTGTAACTTGATAGATCACACAGTTGTCACATCATTCTGGCATTGTCCAGCAGAGAGCAAGATGTATTAAAACCTTGTTTCTCTGTCCCACCCACACTTTCCTACCTTCTGGTCCAGGGGTCTCCAAACCTCTCCAAACCAAATCCCCCACACGCACAGGGTTAAGGGAACGGGCCAGATAAAATGGCAAGGTGGGCCAGATGTGGCCCTCAGGCTGTAGTTTGGAGACCCCTGTTCTAGGCCATTGCAAAGTTTTTTGAGCTCAAAATACTGTAATATTATGAGCTCTAGTATTTCAAGCTTCTGACACATCATTATCCTGCATGTATCAACTACAGACTCAAACCTATAGGAACTTCCTTGGGGGTAAGTCCAATTGCAATACACAGAAATTACTTATGAATGAAGAGTCAATCAAACTAACCAGCCATGCTGAATAATCTGTTTCAAATTTTTCTAAAGGTGCACACAAAATAAAATAAAACATGGAATAATATAAAAGATTTTTTTTATTTATGCAACATAAAATAGAATATAAATACTTCAAACAGTTGAATAAAAATATAATCAAGTCAAATTTTTATTATATTTCTTGCTCTTCAGCCAAAAAAAAAAAATCTTAAAATTACTGGTCTCTTTTCCATTCTTGATTTGTTTGTTTTCTCAAACGTGAAGGCAAAATAAATTCCATAGGAATCAAATGTAGGCATTATGTCCACACTCAAGATACATTCACATCATTACATTAGGCAAACACTCCCTTACATACATGCTGAACATATCCAGTATAGCTTTGTTAAAGCTTGGGTTGCCATAAAGAAAGTGTGATCTACTTTCCTCCTTCCCAGATGGTTCATACTAGTCATAGGTCATAAATACTTCACAAAAAACGCTCCATAAATATGTCAATTATAAATATGTGCTGTGGAGAGTGCCTCCATTGGTTTTCACTCCAAAATGTCCAAAGAGAAGGGCTGAAGGTTAGTCTTCCGCGAGCTTCTTCTCAGGTGCCCTGTTGTCCCCGACAGCATGGCTAAGGGTTCCAAAGAGTCGATCCCAGTGTGTGAGGTAAGGTGCGTAGTTGAATCTGAACTTCAAGTGGTGGAGATCGTGGTGTGGTGCTCCTCCATACAGACCCCAAGGCACCAGCTTATGGGTTGACCATGGCAGGTCATAGCCACAGTGATCTTCCACTGAGAGCCAGATGTTAGCAACGTGGAAAGTTATTTCTGTCAAAGGATGACACCGAAGCAGTGTTGGACACACCGCCGCAAAGCATCCCAGCCACAGCAGCTCCCACATGCTTGAGTACTGGGTGGTAAGAGCGAAGGTGGAGACGTGTTTGTGGTGGACCTTGTGGAAGGTCTTGTAGAGCCAAGGCACTCTGTGATGGAGCAAATGCCACAGGAAGGACAGGAAGTCGAAAAGCAGCAGGCAAACTGTTACATCCCAGAGGAGCCGCGGCAGTTCTGGAGCCTTCAGTGGCAAGTTCACAGGTGCCCAGTACCAATGAGCAACAGTCACCGGGAAAATGCCAACGGCATGATGGTAGACACTTTGAGCCAGGCAACGCACGATCATTCCCAGAGTTGGAGCCATCAGCGGCTGGATTTTGTATTTTCTCAAGGCTGGGATTCGAGTGCTGAAGAAGTCCAAAGCCACAAAAGGCAGGCAGAATGCCGTGTATGTCGTAAAATTGAAGAGCACCGGAAAGAAGGGTGATCCGATCAAGGTGTCCTGGGATCTGACAAAGTCCCAGAGAGGCTGCAAAACCAACGGGCTGTGCTTGTCAAGCACCCCGTCATACCTGAACGGCAGGCTTCTGTTTTGAATGTGGTGGCAGCTCATGCTGGCTCTTGCTGCTCCCGCTCCCTGCCTCTCTGCTGCTTTTGCTGCTGCTAGTGCTGTAACTGGACTCCTTTTATTACCAAGCTTCGGTCTCTCCTTCAAATGATGACGACGTCATGAAAAAAATTTCCTCCAGGCAATCAGTGCATTTTCCTTTCCTCTCATCAGCTGCAACAAAAGAAACATGCTGAGGAATTTCCCCGTACTTTCTTCCAGATGTTTGCCATCGGCTGAACGGCCCTTAGCTGTGCCCCTCGCTGTCAGAATCTTTTAGGTTTTAGAATCACATCTCAAGCTCAGCCACAAGAACCCTTCCCAGCCTGAATGTGAGCAGTAGAGGGAAATGAAAGAAAATCATACTCTCGGCATGCAGCCACATGAACGGACTAAAATCTTTCTAGGGCAGCCTACCCCAACTGAGTACTGCCCTGTTGTGTTGGACCACAAGTCCCATCACCCCCCCACACACACACATCAGCTGGGGGATGGTGGGAATTGTAGTTCAACACATCTGCAGGTCACCAGATCAGGGAAAGCTGTTGTGTCCTTATTTGTAGGAAGGGGGAGGGTTCACAAACTAAACTTTTGAAAAGTATACATTCTTCTTCATAGCTCTCATGTGCCAGGATAATGTTATGAAGCACAACCCACACAGGAACAGAATCACAAAGTAGGCATTCTAATACATTGTCACCAAGACAGCTGTAAATAATTGCACCAAATTTCAACTACTTGATACATACAAGTACTTCTGGGTGGCTCAGTGGTTTAACATCTGGCTGTAGTGTCAGAAGTGGGGAGTTCAGTTCCCCACTGTGCCTCCTTGACTAAGGCTGTATCCATAGGGTCCCTTCCAGATCTGCAGTTCTAAGACTATTATTATTGCAGGGTTTGGGGTTTTTTTTTTCCAGACTAACAAAAACAAAGCAGAATCTAACCAGTCTTACATTTGGAGACAAAAAAGAAAAAGTTTCATGCCTGGGGAGGGTTAGTGGTTTTGTTGTTGTCGTCGCCATCTTTTTTAGTTGGGCTTGGAGGGGGGGAAATGACAGAAGACTGGCCCCATTTGGAGAAGAACATTGGGAGTGTTTACATTATACCCTGACCCTCAAATAACTGAGATTCTCACAAGCCTGAGAAATACCCCACAGACCATTAAATGCAAGGGTTTTTTTTTCTAAACCTCTTGAGTAAGAAATGAGAACATTTTAAGAGCAGCATCTCTGCATTGATCTTGCAGTTTCCAAACTTGAGGCATTCACTAGGAGTGGATGTTCTGGATTGCTGAATGACAGAGAGAGGAATCCATAAAGGAGTAGATTAATGACCTGGAAAGCCAATCCAACCCTATTGCCTGATCAACCCTGTGTAATCCCCTAAGAACCACAGCCTTTTCCTTGTTCTTTCTGGACCACAGAGAGAATCAGCAGTGTTGTCAGCGGAGTATCATGGATAGCTACCAGCTGTAAAGTAAACATTTCATCTCTTTATGAGTCACATGTAGCAGGTTTCAGAAGCTGGACTAAGGATTCAGCTCATTAAAGGAACATCACTCTAGTCCAGAACACTGATGGAATAGGGTGGGGCGTCATTTCCACCCTGTGTTATGCCTTGGATCAACATTTTTGTAAGAGAATAAAAAACTACTTGTTTATTTATTCATTTCATTTATATCCTGCCTTCCTTCTTAGACTAAAATTTAAGCATTACAGTACCCTACAACGCATAGAGTGCAGTTCCATCTGTCTACATATATGCCTTCTAGATCTGACTGCACTCTCCCTAAAACTGTAATGGGGAATGTGCATCCGGTCAGATGTTGTGGAATCTCCTACAACCTTCACTAAGGAAAGGGACATATTCCTCATCCCTGGAAAGGGAAGTGTTCACCAAGCCTGCCACAAAGGATTAGGTTTGTAGCTCAGAGATGTTCCTGAATCTGCCACGGTCAACAGAGGTTTAGATGGCTGACAACCCTGACACAACCTTCTTTCGAGGGGATAAGAAGTCTTCAGTGGTGCACCCTCTATTAAGCTCCTGCTATTCCTTCTGACCTGCCAACTCAACTAGGTAGTGTGTAGGACAGCTAGCCTCTTTCTGGTGTGTGTATGTTGTTTCTAACTTATGGCAACCCTATGAATTATTAATTTCCAAAAGGATGCTGTAAGGAACAGCCCCACAGAGATCTTGCAGATTCAAAGCTGTGGCGTGTTTTGTTGAATTAATCCATCTCATGCTAAGTCTTCCTCTTTTCCTGATGCCTTCCATATTTCCTAGAATTAATTTTTCCCCAGTCCTATTTTCATGTTATGTCCAAACTGTAATAGCCTCAATGAAATTGTTTTAGCTTCTAGTGACAATTCACACTCAACTTAATCTACAGTCCTTTGTCTTTCCGTCTGTGTAAAAAAATCTCCTTCAATATCATGTTTCAAATTTATTATCCTCCCCCATTTTGACTCAATTGTTCTTAATTATGCAGATTTCATGTCTTTAAAAAGTAAGTGGGAATACGATAGCATGGATGAACTTGACTGTGAGCTTCAATAACAGACCTATATATTCAAGGATCTTTTCTAGTTCCTTTATAGTTGCCCTTAAAGGCCTCTGTTTTCTGACTTTGGGGCTGCAATCCCTCTCCATTGTATGCATGTGCAATTGCAATTGCTATATGCGCAACCAGAAGATACTGATTCCATATATACTGATAAACCCTCATTTTGTAATACCTTGCCTTGATCACCACCATTGTATTTTCAGTACATTGTCATCTCTTTTATAACAAAAGAATCTAGAGTAAAAGTTTCTCCACCATAGATGAAATATGCCACATGGGCTCTTCCTTGGTTACAAGCAAAACCTTACATCTTGCCAAATTGCTTCAGACCTACGGAGATCCTTGGCATAGTTTCCTAGGTGTAAAGTGCTCAGAAGGGGCTGGCTGCTTCCTTCTTCTGAGAATGCTCTGGCACTATGCAGCTTGCCCAAAGCCACACAGGCTGACTGTTCTCCTTAAAGGCACAGTGGGGAATCAAATTCCCAACCCCAGGTGCCCAATTCAATAAGCTATCCTTGCTCACAGATAATTTTAAGTATCCATTGCTCGTCTATGCCTGGAATCCATTTTGTGAAGGACAGAGGCCATGTTTGTAGACAAAATCAGCAATCAGATCAAATTGCAAGGATGTTGGGATGCTGAGGGGGTCATCCTGATCCCTGAGGGACCATATGCAGCACACAGACTGCAGTCTGCCCATTCCTGCATTGTAATTGTGTGAACACAATAGGAACGACATCGAGGTGACCCCACATTCAGGGCAGGGGATGAGATTACAAGGAAATCTCTTTTCATGATTTAGGCAAAAGTTCTCTAAAAGAAGAACAATTCTTTGCCAAGAACAAAGGAAAAGGCTGCATGGAAGCCTGAGCCTGTTAACCCAACAACTGAATAGCAGATAATTCACACATTAACAAAGGAAAAGGCTGCATGGAAGCCTGAGACTGAGACTCTTAACCCAACAACTGAACAGCAGATAATTCACACATTGAGGGCCGCTGGCTTCTTTTCATATTGGTAACAGTATCACAGAATGAAATCCAATTGGTTTTCCATCATTGTGCCATAATCAGGCTTGCAACATTATCCCTGTCTGGTTGTATTCACCACAGGAAGGGAAAAGAACGGCTATTAGTAGGAAGTAAAGCAAGAGTAGGAAGGAAAAACGGGGCTGTTAGCTCCTGCAACTTAATATAACACCAGATTTTCCAGCAAAACACTTTCCTGAGACCAAAATGTTTCTACAGTCACCCTATGTCGATTCTGCTATAATGTCCACTCATAAGTCATCCCTAAGCCGTGGTCAACAAAAAGCAGTTAAGGGGTCAGAACGTTAAAACAGGAAGCTTTTACTTAACATTGGAAAGGATTTCCAGATCAATGTTTCTTAAGCAATAATAAAGTTACAAATCAGGGGTTTACAAGAATGGTTTGGTATGATTCCCCCTGGGGGAAAAAATCACTCCTTCATATAATCAAGTGAAATACAATATATAGAACAACCTTAACTGGGGCATTATCCCCCATCACTTACTATTCATGCATCTTGATCCTCTTCTCTCATCCACTGCACACATTAAGACCAAAGGTGAATTGGCAAGTTCAAGGGTCCCTTGAGCAAAGGTCTCATCAGGCCAAGCACCAGTTCTAGGCAACACAGCTGAAAGTGTTTCTACCATACAACTGAACCTGACCTTTTTTTCTAGTATAAGGCAGCTTTCCACCTACCCCACCCACCATTTTACAGTACAGTCGCACCCCGCTTTACACTTACCCCGCATTATGACAAATCCGCTTAACGTTGACGGTTTTGCGATCGCAAAAGCGATAGCAAAACGATGATTCGAATGGGGGAATTTCGCTGTGTGATGATCGGTTCCCTGTTTCGGGAGCCGATTTTCGCTTCCCAACAATCAAAACAGCTGATCGACGGGTTTTCAAAATGGCCACTGGGTGATCAAAATAGCTCCCTGCTGTGTTTAGGAGCCATTTTTCGCTGCACAGGCACCCAAAAATGGTTACCCCTATGGAGGATCTTCGCTGGATGGTGAGGTTTTAGCCGATTGAAACGCATTAACTGGGTTTTAATGCGTTTCAATGGCTTTTTAATTTTCGCATTACCACGTTTTCGTTCTACAGCGATTTCGCTGGAATGAATTATCGCTGTAATGCGAGGCACCACTGTATCTAACCACAAGGACCTTCAAAAATCAGGATTAGAGATGGGGGTGTTTGTATTCGTATATGAATATCCCCGCACAGGTGGAAATAACAAGGGTCTGGCCCCATGGAGCTGGACTATCCACTCACAATTTCGCTGCTGCCAACGGCTCTGCAGAGGCTTCCTAACATGCTGTTCTCTGCAATGGATTAGCCACTCTGTGACATAGCAGAGAGGTTTGTCATCCCACCTCCTGCCAGGAGTAGGTAATCGATTGCGGACAATGGCACAATAGGAAGCCTCTGAGGAGCCAGCAGCAGCAGTGAAATCGTGAGTGGACAG